GGGAATTCTGGGAGTTGAAGTCCACTCATCTTAAAGTGGCCAAGTTTGGACAACACTAGTTAAATCCAACACCTGCTTTTGCCAGATCCTCCTCATTGGGAGTGAGGCAGATACAGAGGCTGTGTCCTCTAAACCTGCTTGCTGAATTAAACCAGTTTATAGCTTCCCACGGCACATGAAACCATAAACTAAATACAGGCTGGGTTTGCACAGCATATGAAACAAACAAACAAAGATCTAACTAAGATTAACACTAGCCAAGTGTGAATGCAGCTGCCAGATCTTTAACTGACCTGGGTTTTGAGAATCCAGCTAGTGCATTCGTTATACAAGAGGGATTTGAGCTAACAGAGGTTTTAGGGATTGTATAGCACCCAAAACTAATCTAAAATAGGAGTTTGACATGTGAAAACCAGCTGTGGTTTTAATATGTTGTATGAACCTGGCTAATACAGTAAACCATTGTGTGGTTTTTTATCTTTGAATACTGCATGTTATGTGAACACAGCATCATGCCGGGTTTAGTGTGTTTTGCGAACCCAGCCTAAAAGTCTTTTCAAAGAACTTGGGGAATGTTGGCCAACCCTGCAGGGTGGGCTTTGGATAAACAGATTCGTTCCCAAGATCTAATGTGGGTGATCAGCTGTCAGGATCTGGCAGCCTGGGCAGAGCTACGGAGAAGCAGAAGCACCCTGGTTTTCATTGGCTGATCCCAATTGCATGTGAGAATGGATCCCACCCTGGAAGAGTTACGTGGTGCCAGTGTTTATTTACGAGTTCGGTCTACTGCCTGAAACCAAATCAGGTTCTAGGGAGTTTACAGAACTCACGTATAAAACATAATGTGCAATCAATAGAGCAATTGATTAAAATCGCAAACCCAACCTCGTTTTCAGTTCAGTGAAAGACTAAAAGCAAGAAGCTAAAATGTATTGAGGACGGTGCCGCCGGTGAACTTCAGAATATAGACTTCCTGCTCGCCTCTGGCTGGACCAGAGCAACCCAGGGTCTTGCCAGACTGTCGGGTATTGCATTGCCGGTCTGCAATTCAGGCAGCTGTCCGGTTCGCTGAGCATGGAGACATCGACACGGCTTTCCCTGTTGAATGCTGACCCTGAAGCCCAGGTGGCAGCATGGCAGGAATTCTTGGCGTGGCTCTCCTGACCTGTCTGGAGGGCTCCGAGGTGGGGAAGGAAGGCGGCATGAGAGCCACTGAATCTGGAGCCAGGAAGATGCCGTTACCATCAACTTTGGGGCAGGGGCTCCGTGGGAGGCGTTCAGACAGGCGGTGAGGGCACACTGTGCATAGAAATGTTGCACCCAGCGGCGCTTGTAACAGCTCTCTGTGCCCCATTTCAAACCCAAGATGCTTCCCCAAGCGAAGGCAGTTGGTTACATCAACCGGATGCCACAGACGTGGAAGTGCCAGAGGACCGGGGCCCACACACAAACTTCAAGCGTTGTCCGGTGGCTGCAGGTTCCCTCCTGGGCCGTGCAGTGCTTTTGCAACACGCTGAAGCGGGACAGGCCTGGGGGCTCCGTGCTGCGGTGGTGGATTCCTGAACTGGGCAGGGTTGGACCAGGTGATCTCTTAGGATCCCTTCCGACCCTTACATTCTGCAGCATTACGCTGGAAGATTGTGGGGAAGGGTGATTGTCAGCCTCCGATAGCTGAAGGGCTGTTGTGTAGAAGGTGGGGCAGATTTTTTTCCCCCCAGAGGACAGGACCAGAAACAAGGGGTTTAGTTTAAAAGGGAGGAGATTTTGGTTGGATCCCAGGTAGCGTGCCCTAATGGGAAGAGCTGTTTAACAATGTGGCAGAGGGGTCCCCTTTGCTGGTGGCTGGCTGTCCATCTCTTGGGGACGCTGGAGTGGTGGAGTCCTCTCCTTAGTAGGGGGTTGGACTATGTGATCTCTGAGGTATCTTCCAACCTTTGCATTCTTTTTTATTTAATTTCTAAAAATTATATCTTTT